ACAGTATACAGTTGGGCAGTTTGCTTTTCAGCTTCACGTCGGGCCGAACCACGCGCCCTTAGCTGTGATATAATGAGCATATACCACGGCCTGTCGTGAGCTATTGCTTGAATACCTCAACCTTAGCATAGGCAAGGCAAGTTTATTTATATAGCACCTTTCAGCATGCGACAATTCAAAGTGCTTTACAAAACAGATTAAAAGACTTTTTAGGAATAAATACAGTAAACACACATTATATAAAGGCATTTTACAACAGGCATTAAAAAGCAAAGATAATAGAATAAACACAGCAGGTATACAATACATGTTTAAATGGCATACTGTAGTGTGAATATGAGCAGCTCAATTAAAAGTAGCGGCAAAGAGATATGTTTTCAGTCTCGATTTAAAAAAACTAAGAGTTTCTGCAGACGTGCATGATACGGGTAGTTTGTTCCAGATTGTCGGGGCATAACAGCTAAATGCTTCCTCTCCATGTTTTTTTTACTCTCGGAACCGATAGCAGACCCGTCCCAGAAGACCTGAGGCACCTTGATGGTTCGTAATTATGTAGGAGATCAACAATATACTTTGATCCTAAACCATGTAATGATTTAAAACCTAAAACTTTAAAATCAATTATTTGGCCGACTGGAAGCCAATGTAAAGATTCCAGAACCGGACTGATGTGATCCACTCTTTTAGTGTTAGTGAGGACACGTGCAGCAGCGTTCTGAATCAGCTGCAGCTTTCTGATGGATTTTTTTGTCAGCCCTGTGAATACACTTTTGCAGTAGTCAAGTCTACTAAAGATAAATGCATGGACAAGCTTTTCTAAGTCCTGTTGTAACATTAATTTTTTAATCCTAGATATGTTCTTCAGGTGATAATAAGCAGACTTAATGACTGTTGCAACGTGACTGTTAAAATTCAGGTCTGAGTCCATCACTACACCTAGATTTCTGGCTTTACTTGTTGTTTTGTAGTCTGCCGACTGAAGCTCTGGGATTACTTTTAATCGGTCCTTCTTTGCTCCAAAAAAAATGATCTCAGTTTTTTGTTTGTTCAGTTGGAGAAAGTTCTGAGTCATCCAGTCAGTGATGTGCTCAATGTACTTGCTCAGTGTTCTAATCAGAGAACACTCTCCTGGTGTGATTTTAAAATAAATCTGGGTGTCGTCTGCATAGATGTGATAGCTTAGATTGCTCTTTTTAATAATTTCAGCCAGAGGTAGCATATAAATATTAAAAAGCAAAGGTCCTAAGATGGAGCCTTGAGGAACCCCTCATGACATATTTGTCAAGGTTGATGTGTAGTTACCTATTGTAACATACATGACTCCTATACAATATTTAGCAAAAGCTATTTGAGAAGTTTCCCAACTTTCATTTATCCTGCATCAATACTGTGTGCGTGCAAAAGTGAGCTTTAAAACTGAAAAGATTTGTTAAAGTTGTGTTCATGCAAAAATGGCAGAAAATGTGGAACATCTGGAGAGTTCCTGATTTTTTTCTTCAAAGGGTTAGAGTAAAAAAACATCAAGATATTTACATTTTATTTTTTAAAACAGGATTGCCGATTTCTAATGTTTTCTGACATTTCATAGACATTGATTCACCACCTGCAAGGTCAAAAAGCACATGTTTAGATGATAAAAGTCAGATCACAATAAAGCTGATGTTTTCTGAGATTGCATTTTGGCCAATATGTCCGACCTCTTTTGCTCCTCTAGACCAAGTGTTACCTGCATTCAACCAAAGCTCACTGAAAAAGTGATTGGTTAATTATACAGTAGGTGGAATGCAAAAGGAATCCAGAAAGCTTCAAATACCCAAATCTCTGTCATTCCGAATCTGTTTATAGAGATTATGCTGTACTTAACTATTGTACGATGACTGTTTATCCTTTGCTCCACAGGTAAACCCGCCGTACTACGTGAAACTGGTGGAGCTGGTACCTCACCCTGAGACAGCAGCGGCCGTTATGGACACCACCCACTCCCTGATGACCAAGGTAAAGATCACAGATTACACAATCAGATGTCAGGACATGCTGGGGAGATGCATAACATGAGTCAATGTCAAGATTATAAAAATGCCATACCGTGAAAGCCTGACATCTGAGTTAAGGAAAATCTAAATCAAGCAATACGTGAAAGAAAGAAGATGTCACATCTCAGTCTGTAAATAAAGATACAAGTGTCTGAAATATATGATGACATGTCACCACACAATGTTTTTTGAAGCAAGTGTTTGCAAGTCACAACAAGTTACATTTCGAAACATGTTGACTTAATAGCCGGAAGGTTGGGCGAGTAAATAAACATTTACTTCCGTTTAGAACACAAGCTTAGTATTTAAAGAGATATAGTGTTTTTATTCTTGATGTCTCTTGGTTCAGGTTGGTCAGGCGCCCATCCGTCTGAAGAGAGAGATCGACGGCTTTGCCCTCAACAGAGTGCAGGCGGCCATTATCGCCGAGTCCTGGAGGCTGGTGCAGGTCAGTGTCTCGCTTCTGTCCTTAAGTGAACCAGTGAACACACTTCTGACACTAGGGTGCAAAACGAAAAATACTTGTCCTGATTGCATCTACTACTAAGACCCCTGCTTTTTCCTTTTGTAGTTATCTTCATGATATATGGCGTTAACAATAAACAATTTTGCTGCCTATTTGCTGTTTTTCCACCTACTGCATGAGAGTAAAGAAAAAATGTGGTTCCTGATAGTAAAATAAATACATACTTTTATTGATCCTTGAGTTCTTCACTCAGGTGTTATTTACACACACAGGCCAAATACACAGAGGAACACACGCACAAACTGGTTCCTACAAACTGAGCTACTGTCGCCCCATGGAAGAACAGAGGGACATTTTTATTTGACTAAATCATTTATTATATGACAACTAATTGTCCTCTCAACAAAGCTTTATCTCTACTTGAGCACAACTCCTTATTTTGAGTAAACCTTGCAAGTTGTAATGGGGAGTCTTGTATCAGTACATTTAAATGTTTGATAATAATAATTTTGTCTTAAATGAGTAAATACTAAATATCTACCCAACGAAAAACCCACTTTGATGTGTCATGACAACATTGCTTGGGTTAGTCTCTGGACAAAAGCTCCTCAGTCTCAGTGAGGCCTTGTGTGGCAGAGTATCACTGCTGATGGTTTTGTAATGGAGGCAGAGAAGAGGAAGCCCCCTGTCAGCTCACCTCTCCACGGACTCCTTCCAAAAAAAAAGGACCACAATGAGGGTAAACGAGCTTCAGCCGCCGATGACAGGCACCATTACACGATCACTCATGGAAGAAATGGTTGGGGTGATAATCAGGACGATGAGAGGGAGGACACTTGTAACCTGAACTGAACTCACATGAAGACATGTCATTGTTATTCAGGATTTCATTGTGGCAGACATCAGATTTACCTCAAATTCACCTCTTTATTCATTGATGTGACAGCAGAGCTTTCTGTAGAAGATTTGTCAACTGTTTTTCCAAATTTGTGATGGTACTTTCTGTCTTTTGTCTCGGTTTTAAGGCTCTGGCTTTTCTCTTTAGTTGTAATACTTGTTGCGTTGTACATTAGCATGTCCGGTCTGTCAGTCACTCTCGAAAGCGTCATTTGGCTTATTTTCTCAGATTTGTCCTACTAATGTTTTCTGCAGGCCCTTGACTGTTAAACTGATGTTGATTTTTAACATTGGTGGAGTTCCCCTTAAAGACAAATAATAACTTCTTCAGCTTAGAAGATTTGAAACCAAATAACGAATAACTGTTGAGTAGATTTCAAGATGATTAAAGCTGTAATGAATTAGCCCTTCCTCAGTGGGAATAAATAAATACAGTATGCTTCAACAAATCCTATCCAAACCAGTTACCCCTCTGGGGACTGATACAGTTCTACTTGACTTGATCTCTCATTTCATGGCCGACACACACACAATCACACACACAATCACACACACACAATCACAGGACATAGTATCCCTGAAGAGAGACTCAGATCTGCCTCTTTATTCTCTCTTCTCTGTCCCCAAAGTGTAACAAAGAGCCTGCCTTTCACAACTAAATCAGCACATTGTGTCCTTGTCCCTGACATTAATGTCCTCCCAAGTTAGAGTTTGTAACTGTATCAGATGCATGCACACACACACACACACACACACACACACACACACACACACACACACACACACACACACACACACACACACACACACACACACACACACACACACATTGCAACTGCAGGTAACAATGAAACACTTCTAAGGAACTCAACAAAAGACTAGTAACTAACTATGACCCAACATGGCACAACATTAACATCAATGTGGGTGTGACACTCAAAACCTGATATTGCAAAAATATTTCAGTTGTTCCATTTAATTAACTATGCGTTAAGTGTGTGTCCTTTTGTTTTTCTTGTTTTCATAAGCAACTCTAACTAGAGAACAAATATTGTCCAAATTAAATTCCACCCTTTTGTAAAAAGGGATGGGACATGTTTTACCCTCTTGGCATTATCGTTAACTTTTTATATGGGAGACATGGAGACTTCTAAGTGTCACTCAGAACTGTTAATTGAAATTGACACACATCGAAAAGGAAATAAATTTCAAGTTGCTCATGTGACTGAAAGGATTATTAACACTACAGTCCTCACGAAGCATACATGCATGAAGGGATGTTTTCTAATGCAATACTAAGGTTGGTACATTGCGTTTATTTTATGCCCTTATGAAAAGATGTTCATTCACTCGCATGAGTTCATGACAATGAGGATGGACGTGGTCATGTCATGGCGTATCGTTTCTCATCAGACTCTCCCTCAAGCACACAATAGTCAGTGAAAGATGAGTCATTACTAATGACGTGCACAAATGTGTTTCATTTCCTTCTAAATTTTGGATTTGAAGACTTAAGATGTGAAGACTTAACAAGAAGGCTATTTATAAAGAAGACATTCACATGAGATGTTGATGGATTTCACTTTCAAAATGGGTCTCAATGTCTCAAACAGCATTTAGGTCCCCCATCCTCTCATCTGCCTAACTCCCTTGTTGTTGAGGATACAGTAGTCACCGGTAATGAGCGCATAGCAGAGCTCTTTAACCAGCACTTTGTGTGGGAACCTATTTGAGTCTATAGCGCCTCCTAAGCCCCCCACCAACACTCCGCCACCCAGCCCCTCTAGCACAGCCCCATGTCACAGCTTCTGCCTGCAGAAAGTTAGTGAGAACGATGTGCTGGAGGTCCTTAGTAAACTTGACCCCAACAAACCTGCAGGTCTTGATGAGCTAGACCCCTTCTTTTTTTAAAGTTGCAGCTCCAATTATTGCAGAAGCTATCTCCCACCTTTGTAATCTGTCCATACAGACAGCGGTGCTACCTTCTGCCTGGAAGGCAGCCTCAGTGCGACCTTTTTTTAAAGGGGGAAACCAAGCTGACCCCAACTACTATCGTCCAATATCCTACCCTGTGTAGCGAAAGTGTCAAGTCTCCTCTGATTGTGGTGCAGAGTTCCCCACTTGAAAGGGACTTGAGGCATCTACCGGACTTTAAAACAGGATTCCACTCCAATGACACAGTTTTTTCCTTTCAGATTTTTTATTTCAGCAGTTTTACTTTAACCAAATGTCCAATTGCTGAATGGGTCATTTTGTGTAGTGAAAAACCTTTGAAAACAAGAAAGATGCATTTTAGAACTTGCAAGTCATCAAAAATAAATAAAGAATGTAAATAAAGCATGTAAACATGTAAATAAAGCTTGTAAACATGTAAATAAAGCATGTAAACATGTAAATAAAGCATGTAAATAAAGCATGTAAATAAAGCATGTAAATAAAGCTTGTAAACATGTAAATAAAGCTTGTAAACATGTAAATAAAGCATGTAACCAATACACTTGTTTGGCAACTGCTGCCTTAATTGTGAATATGTTACAAAATAGACTGGGCAGACTAAACACAGAAATATCCTTTTAAACATGAAATTGCTTCTTTAAACCCAAGCTCTTTTAAAATCTCAGCAGATTTAATTAACTGGACTTTACTAGAAATGTTTTTAACAAATCAAATTAATTAAGAAAATATACTTTCCTCCATTTCTGCAGGAACACTCAGTGAACCAAACCAACAGCACCCCATTAGAAAAGTTTCAGTAAATCGAAATTAGTACCCTCTAAGAATAAATATTTCATTGTGTTTATTTATTCATTGTTCTCCTCCAAATCAACTTATTTAACCTCCCAAAATCGTATTCCCTTTAACAATAAATAACAGAGCGTCTAAGCTCAGAATGCTTTGAAAAACCAGCGCACCAAATCGAAACCTAACACACAAACAATGACGCGCAGAGTTCCAAAGGAACACGTGGCTCACGCGCAAACAATCCACCAGAACATAAACATCCCTTCGCACCGTGACTCTGCGTAGCTCTCGCACAACACAATGGATCTTACCGGCTGCCTGTCCTGACTTGGTAGAAATGCCTCCCGTCTACACGCTTCAGTGTTTTCTCCCCGGCTCGCACGCACCAACCATGTCACTCCTTCTTCAGGATGCAGCACCGGGTCTCTCTGATAAGGTGATTACACCCAGAGGAGGCAGGACCGCCTGCGATCACTTTCACCCTTGTTTTTTATCCCTATGTGTCCCTATGTATTTATATATATTATTTCCGACTACTTGTAATCTATAGTTTATTTTTTATATTTATTAAAGCCTTAGCCTCTGTTTGACTTTACAATAAGTGTTAGAAAAGTTAG